CAATCCCAGTTCTAATTACCATTTACTACCAGCCTTTAAAACTGCTATTTAAGTTTGATCATTAAAAAATAAGAGATTAACTTTTGATCTAGAACAGGGGTGACAAACTCAATTTTACTGAAGAGCCGCATCTGCATTATGGTTGCCCTCAAAAGACCAGTTGCATAAAGACTATGTATCATATTAGTTCAGAACTGCATTATGTCTAAGTCTCAGTAGGATGATGTGAGTCCACATTTTCTGGGTTATAAGTGGGCTGCAGGTCATGGGGTGGGGTCAGTCTCTCCCAGAAGGTGAGTCATGTGATTGGATAGTATTCAAATGGCTGGACAGCCTGTCTTCCTCTCTCTCTCTCTCTCCTCTCTCTCTTAATTCCCTTCTCTCCCTTAGGTTTGCCCCAAAGAAGCCTCTCCTATCATCTTCTCTCCCTCTCCCTCCTCTCCCTCTCCCTTACCCGCTAAACCACCCTCCTTTTATCACTTCTCCTCTCTCCCCACATCCTCCTCTTTTTCTCTCTTCTGGGTGTGTCAATCTCTGGGGCTAAGGCAGAGCTTTGGCATCAGCCGCTATTCCGGCCTTACCCCACCCCACTGCCATGCAGTCACCCACTGCTCAGCTGGGCTTTGCACACAGTGCTCATGAACTGGAGTTGCGTGTGCTGATTCTAGGGTCTCCCCTGAATCCCGGCAGCCCCATAGCTCCAGCTGAATCCTGGCAGCCCCATAGCTCTCCCGAAGGCTGCATGATGCTGCTGGCAACAGTGAGGCCACTGGAAGTCAGTTGGGGCTACATGGACTGAGCCTTAGCAGATCCACAGCAACACTGCAACTTCAGCTGACCCTCCCCCAGATCTGTGCAGCGCTGCTCGCTCCCCTACTACACACACAACCTGAGTGCCTACTGTGCATTATCTTTCTTTCTCTCCCCTTCCTTCCTCGCCAGTCATTCTCAGGCAGAGAGTGCTGCTGCTACTGACAAGATATTTGAAGAAGCAAAGAGGTAACTACTCAATCACCTCTTCCTACTAGTCTGCTTGTGGGCCACATCTAAACACATCACAGGCTGGATCTGGCCCATGGGCTTTGATGTCTGATCTAGAACCCACACAAAAAATTGATGTCATTGAATAATCCACATTCATAGCAAGGAAACATATGGGATAACTATATCAAGTATAAGATAATACTTTGCAATATCTACTTCACAATACATACATACAACTGAAACAGATATTTACGAAACAATATGGCCCAAATGCTTTAGAAACATATGTTCTATACACTGGTTCAAGATGTCATCACTATATTGGTCTGAGGTATCAAATCACCATATTGCTGACACTGTACCTCAAATTGTCAATCAAATAATCATTCCTAGTGGTTTCACAAAACTATGTTAAATAAATAACTTCTGTCTGGTAGGAAAGTGATAAGATTTAATGTATTTTACAATGAGTAAAATATGGAAAGTATGAATTTTATAACTTTTAAATTTGCTGGGCTCATAATGGGATTGGGCTCACTAGAAAAAGGTCTGTTCTTTACTTGTGAATTTACTGTATCATTTCTTCCATAATGTACTAAGTGGAAATAAGATATTCAGTTATTCAAGTATCTTGATAAATTGAAGATAAGACAGAAATGGGAAAAAGAGCAATATCACAAGATTTTCTGACCAGAAGAATCTGAAAGGCAGATGTCAAAGACCAACACACAAGACTTCCACCCCATCTGTGTAATCTATTTGGATCATCCTTGAGACAAATGAGTTGTTTAACTGTAGATGACATCAAACTGAAGCTCTGTTCCTGAACATGTGAATCTGTAAATGGATCTCAAGGAAATAAAATACTGCAGTTTGGGGCCTAAGCCACAGGACATTTAAAGTATCAATTTCACCCAATTTGTGTCTATTTATATCATCCTTCTTTAATTAGTTGGCAACAGAATATTAACTGAGTTGGCCAAATAAAGAGTCTCTTCCCTTAGCTGCTTTTGTGTATTTTTGTAAGATACCAATTAACAACATCTGCCTTAGGTAGACTCAAAAGTTGAAAAAATGTCACATTCATTCTAAACATCTAGAATACTGTGCAATCAACCATAAATGTCTTTAGGTAACATCTGTGACTTTGATCTTCAAATCAGCCTAAGTCTGGTTCAAAGCATTACAGCTCATAGGATTTTTTTCAAAAGACTATGTGCCAGCTTCTATTCACATTTCTGAAATTTCATCAGGTCTTTGGGCATGCGGGATATATATTGCCCTCTGCCACTTTGCTAGAATAATACAAAAATACTATTCCAGTGCTTATGTCCCTGAGCCTTATGCTTCTTTTTATTCTCTCTATAGGAAATTCTGGATAAGTTTCATCTTCTCTCCTATGCTGAAGAAATTTTATTTTTGTTGCTTCCTTTGCCTCACCAAGATCTATACATATCCTCCTGGATTGCTCAATTTTGTGCTTCCATATGTATCATTTCTCATTCCTTGTTATTTAAGAACTGTGGGGTTTTCATTAAACATTTATAGTTACATATGTAATGTGTGTATGTTTGTGTATGCATATGCATAGATGTGCATAGCTGTATTTCACTTCTGGTCTCATGGCTGTAGTAAAGATAAAAGAAAGATATTTTTTTCAACATAAACTATTTTCTTTTCTTAAGATTTCTTGTCAAATATCAACTTAAGAGAAAAGGAAAAGCTCTGGTATATCTTTATGGCATAAATCCAAGTAGTCCAGTTTTCTGTATTACACTGTGATCAAATGTATTTAGGAAACATAGAGATCTAGACAGGAGAGGGGAAATTTCTTTTACTGTCATTATCAGGAAACTGTATTAAAGGCATTTGGCATTAGCCACAACTAGACAGCACCTTTACTGGAACCAGTGTTGCCCGTGGCTGTGCCTATTTTCAACAAAGAGCTTCATTTTTTGTAATTAGGTAAGAAACCCTAGGAGAAAACAAGACTCCTGAAACCAATTTGGAAACCAACCAGGTAGAGGAAATTTTCACCCTAACTTCTGTAGACCTGGCAAATGACATTTGTCAATTAATGATCACTAAGACAAAAAGACACAACCATGCATAAACACAGAAGGAAAAACACACAGAGAAAAAAGCATGACAGCTGCTCTTGTGCTTACTTGGATAGAATGAAATGCATATTGGTATGGGATTAGGATGAAATTTCAAAGCTTAGAATTTGAACATAGTATTGCTATATAGCTTGCTACTCACTATTTTGTATATGATTTCATTTTTTTAATTTTTTTTTGAGTATGATTCATTCTTTTTGCTAGGTTCTGATTAAAGCATTAAATGTCTTTCTACTCTTAAATGAATTTCGGCTGAGAATTTTTCTTTAATGTGAACATTAACTAACCTACATACTGAAGTTGCAATAAAGGCCATTAGACACCATAGCAAATTTCTCACATGAAATTGTTTAGTGTGCGTGGCTAATGCACAATATGCTCTAGCCAGTGGTGGGATTCCAATAATTTAACAACCGGTTTTCCCACGATCAGGTTGGCTGTCGTGGGAGACATGGTCCAACTTGACCTTGGGTAAAACCATTGTCAAATTAATTTAAAAAAAACCCACTATCAGAGTGGATCCTGGCGCTGTGCTGCAGTGGAGAAATGGGCAATGGAGCAGAAGGAGGAACAGGGAGAAGAAAGAGGGAAAGCGGCCATCTCCTTCCTTCGTTGCTCGTGCTCCATCGCAACGCAGTGCCCAGGATCTACTTTGATAGCAGGGGGCAGGTAATTTAATAACCGATTCACACAAACTGGTGTGAACCAGCTGACTCCCACTATTGGCTCTGACCCCTCCCCCTGAAAAAATAAAGAGGCTTTTGGGAAGAGGTGAACTGTCTACCTATCTCAACCTGACATTGCCTTCCAACAACTAATGGTAGTATGTAACACATAATGAGACAAGAGGAAGAAAGGGGAAGATGCCATACAAACCATTATAGCCCTCATTGTGTGACCCCGCCATTTATGGTTTATGTTTTTTAAGCAGTTGATAATTTAAGAAAGCACTTGACCTATTATCCCATGGTAGATGAATTTGGTTAGGTGAAGGATGAAGTCAAAAATTTGGCTCCAGAGACATTTGCTTCAAAAGTCTTAGGTGTAGTTGTGATAAAAAAATACATTACAAATTGTAATGAATGTGATATAACTATAAAAATATCAAGTACATACTTGCAGAGTAATCTATCAACTATATTTACATTTAGTATGCAAATAAGGCTGTATCATCAAAAATCCCTTTGACTCAAATAAAAACTCTCCAATATTATTATCAGGTTAAACTTGTTAAAGTGACAAAATTATTAAATGTATGGGGAATATTTATATTCAGGTTATTCATGTAACACTTTTTCAGATCGTCATTCTGAAATAAATTGCATACCCTACAGTAAGGAGAATAGTATTTTATATATTTATCATAATTCAACAAGTACTTTTTAAGGCAGGAGTCCCCAATCCCCAGTCTGTGGACTGGCATTGGCACGTAAACAAGTGAAGCCCCATCTGCAGGATGCAGGCAGCACACAATATCATGCCCCTCTGATCCACAGAAAAACCCCTCTCCACGGAACTAGTCCTTGGTGTCCAAAAGGTTGGGGGGTTCTGTTTTAAGGAATGTGAACATGACTGTTTTCTCCAGGATAATAGACTATATGTCTGCTTTTTATCAGAAGACTGTTTTATGCACTATAATCTCACAGATTCTAACTCAGCCTTATTTAATTTCCTGTTTTGCTTGTTTTTACATTTATTGCTTATTGCCTTATTGTCAATAATCTATTAAAACTATTGATTTTTGAGAGCAAAGGATTCTTTTGATAAATCAATGATTATGGCCCTAAAAAGTATTCTATGCAAACCATCTTTTCCACAATTCCTTAATTTAAACATCTCTTTAGTTCCAATCCTGCGCATTACAATTTATTTTCCTGAATATTTTTCCATACATACCTTGCATATCTTTTTTGGGGCCAGGCCCACTTTTTTCATTTTTTTTCATGCTTGAGATTGATTTTTGCTTCTGTTTAACAGATGTTTTGTCAATGGCAGGGAATTTAGCTTCTGATTTATTCCCATGAGATTTTACATTGGATTTTGGATCACTTCCAGAAATTTCATCAGACGGGGTCTGGTAATTTGAAAAGAAATAGCAATAGCACTTAGACTTATATACCACTTTATCATGATCTTCAGCCCTGCTTAATTATTAACAATAAAATTAATTTTAACAGCCCATATATTAGGAGAATTATTTTCTCTTTAGAGGAATTTCTTCCTCTGTTTATTTTTCACTGAGGCAAATGAAAGTCTTTCAGTCAGGATTATGGCTGGAAAAATTAAGCTTCTTTTCCTCAAATGAAGAAATTTCCTCTCTCTGCCTCTGCAACAGATATTAATAGCATTACAAATAGTTTGGCTCAAAATTCTTTTTCATCCTTGTTTATGAAACTACTGTAAGTTGGTACATCTGCAGCAGCCCAAGTGCCTTAGTTTCCAATGTGGCATCCAAATATACCACTCATTAATATTGCCACTGAGGCTAATGTGATTAAACCTACTATTTTTTAAAGACTCTTTGAGGCAAAAATATTAAATTGGAATGTAGCATGCTACAAATATATAGCATCAATTTAATTTCCAAGAATGTCTTTGGAACCCATGAAGATACCAGATGGATTCTTAGAAAAGAAATAAAGTGGCAGCTGCAACATTTATTTAGAAGTGTGCCCATATGTCCAGAAATAAAGGTATGCTAAAATGATAGACAGCATACCAAGCACTTTTAAGATGTAGAGCTGCCTAGTAATATTTGCCTTCTATTAAGTAAACCTTTTATAGCTAACCCATTCCAGCCACATTGTAAGAATGTTTGTGATATATTTTAAACGTATATATTTTCAAAATTCTAAATAAGCTTGAAAATTTAGGAAGCCTCTCAAATTCAAAAGTGTATTGAAACAAAAACTTCAGTTTTAAAAAATTACTCTTATAAATATTACTATTCAAATTCCCTATTTTAGGAAATTCATTTCATAAATGACTATCCTGGAGCTGCCTTGGTGCTCATATCTTTCTACTCTTACTCTCTCAAACAGGGCCACTTGGAACAAGCTTGGAGGACATATGCACCTCCATATGCATTTAAATCTGTCCATCAGAACAAGTCATTAAGGATCAGAATGAGCTAAACAAGTTCTACCATAATATATCAGAATGAAAGATACCAATAAAAAGCTTTTATATCTCCTAGGTTCATTGGATTGGGTGGCTAATAAATTCAAATTTTAAAAAAAATCAAACTAAATAAACTTTTCACTTGCTAATGCTGTATTTGGGTACCAATGATAGTGGGATTGTTATAGTCTCTCAAATTTGAATTCAAACAGATTAGTCAGGGAATTCAATTATTCTTTTTTCTTCCTTCCTTATTAAGGACAGAACTTGAGTCAGATGATTAAAGTAACATAAAAACATTCAAAATAAATTATTTCTTTTACATTTATCTTTCATAGCTTTTTTACATTTGTCAATATCCCATAAAATCAGATTAAGACTGGAACTTTGAGGTATTAAAAATAATAGGACCTTTTGGCAATTGACATATAATGCCCTTTCTTGCCCTTCAGACTGCTATGAAATGCTTTATTGTAAAATATCTGGGAGCATATTTTTAAGTAATAGTTAACACTCCAACAGTTTTCTTTTAAACTAGCAATATTCCCTTTACTATGGCTACAATTTCTAATTAGCTTCTAATTAGCCAAACTCAAATCATAGATCATGTTTGGTAATTTCATTCACAATTTTAATGCAGTTCTTAGGGCTAAACTTTTCTATTTCATTAACTGCATAGCTAGAATCTCCATTATCTTCAACAAGCTTCAACAAAGGTATTATCATTCCTATTTATATAAAAGGTAATAGGGCAAATTTCAATGATTATCAGTAGGGATGTGCTTGAACTCGTTGGTTAGGATAAGGGTTTGAGTTATTAATCAATGATTGACAGTTACCTCTATAAATTTCCCTATTCACGCTATAAACATAAGAAGGACATCAAACCATGACAGGCAAAAATGGAAGGAGGGCCAAAATATATTTCATTGGGATTCAAGTCCTGATCCTACTTGCTTCTGAAGTACAGCTCTCAAAGCCTAGTATTCTATGGTCTTCAAGCAAATCTGAATGAGAGTATATCAACTCAATCCTAAAGGAAGGGATTTACATGTGGTAATCAAAACACAGCATTGCACCTGAAAGCCCTGTTAGCAAAAGCAATAGGGCAGCTGGCAGGGAAGTTTGCAAGTTGCTCCACTAAGTTGCTCCCACTGCTTTATATCCTAAGCCCACTCCAGAGCCCTTCCAAGCCCTCCAATGACCCATGTGGGCTCCATAGCTCCTGCTTGTGGCACTTTCCCCGTGGCACTCCCATAGTCCTTGTCTGAGACTCCTGTCTCTTCTTGTTTAATAACTCATGCAGTCCTAGGATTGTGATGGCAACTAGGATTGACATCCCTAAGCAATGAAATCACATGATATTGTACTTTACAAGGGCGATTCTGGTCTCAACTGCCATCAGAACCAAAGGACTATCTGTAAAAGAGCACGACCTCTGCTCAGTCAACTCTGTAAGACTTGTCTGGCCAGAATCCAATTTAATGAAATGACTTCAGACTGTCAGATGCCAAGCATATTCCTTCATGGATATTCATTCAATCCATCAACCCCACCCACTCTGTAAAAGGTCAAGATTACCTTCAAAGGAACATTTGGCAGAGACATGATAAGGGTGGGGGGATAATACTTTGACACTCTCATTACTACAATGTAGACTCTAATATGGATTCATGAAAATATTTGGTTGGACTCCCAAAAAAGATAAGTTTACTATGAAATGGGAAGGGGGCAATATTGTAAATTAAGGGGGTCTTAATGAAACTGATAAAGGCATGAAAGGAAGGAATTTAATTACAATTGAAAGGGTTAAAATGTATGTCATAAAGTGTAAGTTGGTACCACTTGCTTGTGCTAGGAAATATCAAAGGAATCTATAGGAAATTATATTTGAATATTACAGATAGTTCTCATTTAGCAATTGGTTTGTTTAGGAACTATTCACAATTACCCACAGCAATGAAAAAGTAACTCAGTCCTCAAATTTATGACTGTCACAGATCTCAAAAGCAGAGCAAAACTGAATTAAAATCATAAGCACAGTTGCAGGTTTACATAGCAACCGCTTCACTTAATGATCAAGCTGCAGTCTCAATTGCGGTACTAAATGAGGACTACCTATATGTTCCAATGAATGGTGATAATGAATAAACTGGATATGATTTTGGGGGGAAATTTTGCCAAGTTATGAACAAATATGATCAAAGGACTTGACCTGAATGGATATGTGGCAATAAGAAAAAGACTATAGCAAAAGCAAGTTGGAGACCTAAGAATTAAACTACTAGATTGTGCTTGACATGAGGCTGTCTTTAAAGAATTCTCAGAAATTATTTCAGAATGAAACAGGCCATCTGACACTTGCCACTGGGATTATGTTATACCTGTGTTATGGACATTTGACTGATTACCAATTGGTTTCCAATTCAATTTAAAATGTTGCTTTTGATCCATGAAGTCTATTATGCATTTGCACTTATGTACCTGCAAAACTACTTACTCCAATCTGAATTAGCTAGAAAGAAATTGCTTTTATTTATCCACTTGTTAGAAGTGTACAGAGCTGAAGTCAAGAAATGCAACTTTTCAGTTTTGTGCAAATATGAACTTGAAGGTTTATGGCTGAACATGATAAAAAAGATGGAAGTAAACTACACGCGGAACTATGCATTAAAATAATTGAAAAGCTTAACAAATGGTTCCCACTACCAAACAGGGATGCCCTATCTGTTAAATATATTTATAGATAAACAATATGCTTATCGTGATGTTAGAGATTAGCTTCGTGGGAATGTGAATTCATATGTATTTCTGTAAGCAGAAGAAGCAGGATTCTGATTTGGAGCATATGTTAGACTATGAGTTACTAGAAATTTGAAGATTAACAAAGACAAACACTTCATGATGCAATAAGAAGTTTAATGTATGAGTGAAAAAAGGTAATTGTTTTTCATTGGAAAATTGAGTAATTAATTGCAAGTTACACATAAATGATGAAAAATTAGACCAAATAAATAAACTTGTATAACATGGAAAAGACATGAGGAAATCAAAACATTATGTGAAAATGCTGGTAGAAAGGTAGGAAATTGTGCATCATCTGCTACAAAGAATAAATTTTAGTTGAAAGAAATTATATATATATATATATATATATATATATTCTTCAGTTTTCGCGGGTACTTACATGTATGGCATTCAGCTTTGTTCGGGTATTTTCCCACGTCATTGTAGTTGTGCTTTTAAAGTTGTAGCAACGTGTGTTTTTTTTAAACTGGAAAAAAGCTGGAACACACTTCCTCACTAGTCCAACATATGAAAGCAACAGGTCATAGCATCGACTTCAATGGCACCAAAACCCTAGCCACTATCAGAGAAGCCATAGAGATTGAAAAAAGACCTGAAAGCATGAATAGAAGAGATGATTCCACCAGACTGTCAATTATTTGGAAGCCTGCACTCACAACAAAAAAATCTCCACACCACAAGCCAGGCAAACACCTGGGCACAAACAGATTCCCCCTGATACCTCCAGCTCAAACACATCCCAACCAGGCACCCAGATGAAACCTAGCTTCCTAATAAATGATAGCCGTCCATTTACTCGGAGCCAAGCCACACTAAAAGCCTTCAATACAGGAAACACAATGTTGCCAGCCAATCAAGACCAAAAAAGCTACAAAACAGACAGAAGATATTAGAAACACCAATCAAGCAGAACACAGCAAGCTCCAAGACCAATAAAGACAGACCAGGACTCCCAAGCAATCAGGATGAAGAAAAAACTATTCTGGTACAGAAATTTAAAACAGAAATGGCTGTGAAAGTCTGACTCACAGACGAACACTATACAGAAGCCTGATGATGGCAGATGAGATTCTGCTGAAATGTTGCTACAACTTTAAAAGCACAACTATAATAACGTGGGAAAATACCCGAACAAAGCTGAATACCATACATATAAATACCCACAAAACTTAAGAAAACAAATATATATATATATATATATTTTCTTAAGTTTTCGCTTAAGTTACGTTACGTTACATTAAGTTAAGTTACGTTAAGTTACAACTTTAAAAGCACAACTATAATGACGTGGGAAAATACCTGAACAAAACAGAATACCATACACACACACACACACACACACACACACACACATACAAAAGTTTGCTGTTCCCATTTTATAATGAAGAACTTCAAGTTGTGTATGTCAAGAAAACCTTCAAGTAAGTTGAATTAAGTCAGATTGGAGCTCTTAAATAATGTGCATGATAAACCAGAAGAGATAAAGTCAATAATAAGTACTTAATGCAAAAAAATTAGCTATCAGTATGAAAGAAGTATATGGAGGTAGTTTGGTCATGCAAGGAGAATGAATTAAATATATGTATGAAACATGATTCGGTTTAAAAAAATTTTTTTTTAAATGCAAGTTTAAAAAAATGTGATTTGATAAGAGTTGATAAGATCCTTCAAAACAGACCAAGGCAATATAACTGAAGAGTTAAAGACTAGTCTACAAATGTGATGAAAGTAATATTATGGAGAGATGTAGTGGATTGTGGATTTAACTGTATTTTCTTTTGCAATAAAAGTAATAGTAATAGAGTTGGAAGGGACTAGGAGGTCATCTAGTCCAATCCTTGTGTTCATGCAGGAGACCTATACTATTTCTGACAAATGGCTGTCTTTTCCTTTCCTTAACCTATTATTTCTTACTTCTTTTCTATATTTTGCTTAACTTTGCTTACTATGAAAGGCAACAGTGATTAATATGTGTGCATAATATTTGTTCCTTATTTGAAAGGTTAAACTTACGAGAGATATATTATGTGTTATATTTACTTAACTCTCTATTAAACAAGTAATCTTATTTTCAGAACACAGAAGAAAGCCCCTCTAGCAATACTCTTAGAAAACTGAATGGTCTGTACTTTAGCAAATTTCATGAAGAAAGTTTTCCCAAAAGTTTTTGTTATTGTTAGTCCTCTTTATCCTTCTCTGGTGCTACCTCTGAGCTCCAATTCTCAGTTAGAATGTTACAAGACCTAAGGAGAATGAAATGTTTAATTGAAAAAAAAATCTTATTCTCCAAGAGTTATGGACTTCAGCCTTCATAATAATTCTAAGATGTACAACTTTTGTGAACTACTGTGCTCCATATTTTAAAAATACATTGACAGCTGATCCACCAGAATTATGATTTTTTAAAAGCTGCTTGAGTCTTTATCAAACCATTTTTTTCTACTTCACAACTAAAGTTAGCAAATACTTGCCTGTCTATTAACAGGAAGTCTTGAAATCCATGGCCTTTCATATCTACGCACTGGAGAGATAGATGATAAACTTCTCTGCCTCAGTTCTTGTCTGCTCTGTTCTCGTTTTTTATCAGACTGGTCTTTAATGTGCTCTTGTTTTCTTAGGCAAGCCTAATAAATAAAGTATATATCTATTTCAAATGAGTTGTATGTGGAGACTAAAATTCAAACAATAGCTAATGGAATCTGTCCACACATCCATAACACCCTCTGCCAATTTTTCCCCATCAGCAGCTCTGCAGATTTCTTGAAGTATGCGTCATCCTAGTATCCCCAGACAACAATGGTTAATTTGGGGAAGACTACTTCTGGCTCGTGTTTTTTTAAGAAAAACAAGATACTAAAATATAATTTATTACCTGATACTCTGAATCCATCTTGTGCTGCATCTCTCTTAGGTACTGAGCATCACTGATAAACTTCTGTCTTTCCTTTGCTTCATACATGGCAATACTTCAGGAAAACCTATAAAATATACATTCAAATTACATCTTTATTGCAGTGACAAACCAGGATAAAAAAGGTGTGACATAGTCATTTAAAAAGGATAATGAATATATCAAAAAATATAAATCTAAGAAAAATTATAAAAAGCTAGAAGATATAAAAGATATAAGAATTAAAAATAAATGTATTTATAAAATCAGAATCTAAAAAAAGGGATAGGAGCAATGGAGGTTATAGTGGAGCATAAAAGGTTGTATGTGGAAGATCGTATCAAGTTACAAAACACTCTAATATGATGAACTAGGTGCATGTGTGTGTATACGTGTAATATGTGTGTGTGTGAAAAAGAGGGGGGAGAGGGAGGGGGGAGGGAGGGAGAGAGAATGTTCATGACAATGACAGTGTTCCAGATTAAAGGGCCTTCTTTTTTTTAGGTATTTTGAATTTAATTAAATAAATATGCTATAGGGAGATAGAATACACGTTTGATTCACTGGCAATAAAGTTTGGGTCTTAGATCCATCCTTCATGTTTGCTACACGAAAGTTTAATAAGTTCTTTGAGCTGATAACATCCCATGCTGAATAGAAGACCAGAAGAAAAGCACAAAAATGAGTTTTAAGTTACTATTGCTGATTTCCATATGAATTGACAATTATCACTCATAATTAATGGGGCAAGACCAAGAGATTAAAAAATGATAATCTGTAGCTAACAGTTGAGTATGATCACCCATACTCTAGTCCAAGGGTGTCAAACTGGATTTCTTTGAGGCCCAGATCAGCACTGTACTTCTCCATGTCCCAGCGGGGAAAAGCGGGGGGGAAGCGTGGGCAGGATGGATACCTCCTGCAGCACCCTGCCAAACAAGGGGGCGCACATGGCCCCCTGAGCTTCATTTTCACCTTCCATGGCCTCCTGCAGCACTCTGCTGGCCATTTCCAGGACCATTTTCAGGCTCGTTTTGGCCCATTTTTGGCCCATTTTCAGCTGGAAGCATGCTGCAGGGGGCCATGAAGGGTGAAAACAAGATGCATGCAGCCCGTTTTAGCTGACAGAGGAAGTGCAGGACAGTCCTTTGATATTTCCGGGCCAGATTTAAGCACCCTGCGGGCCAGATTCAGCCCGTGGGCCTTGAGTTTGACACCCCTGTTCTAGTCTTTCATAAATTCCGTCTCTATTTAGCGGGATATTAGAAATATAATAGGGACTTGAAGTCTTCCAGGGAGGGCAGAGGACAACCAATGATCTTTTGAGCTGTGTTTATCATCCTCTGTACAGTTTTCCTGTCCTCAACTGTGGAGCCATCATACCACACACCCAGACAATATGTCAGAGTGCTCTCCACAGAGGCTTTATAGAAAGCCAGCAACAGCTTCTTATCCAGATTGTTCTACCTGAGAACCCGCAAGAAGTGCAGCCGCTGCTGAGCCTTCTTCACTATGGCCTTGGTATTAGGGGACGAGGAGATATCAGCTGAAATATGGATGCCGAGAAATCTAATCATAGGGACAGTTTCCACTCGTTCTCCGTTGATGAGTGCGGTGTGGTCCTGTCCATGTTTCCTTGGAAGAAAGGGCTCGGCTATGCTCCATGGATAAATTGGTTTTTGCCTTGGCTTCAAATAATTTGAGAAATACAGGTATGTAGTGCTACACTCTTAAGGAATTTAGAGATGGCAAATGAGCTCCTCTGTGCATTTTCAGCAACCTAGTCTACTTAGATTTTCCTGCCCCCCAATAAAATCTCTTAATTCTTCACATTCTGTATTTAACAGTTGTAAAATTGCCAGCAATGGTTAAAGGAAAGAAATGAAATGATTTGGGCTTCACCCAAAGAAGCATTTATCATATCTAAAATCCAACCACACGCAGATATTCTAGCTATCCAAAACAGCCAAGCGAAGGATGGATTTAGCCTCAGAGAGCAAAGAGCATTTTGTAGGAAATCCTACCCATTCCTTAGACATTAAAATAAATCCCAGATGTTGCCCAAGTCATTTCATTAGATTCTTCTCTGTATGCTGTAGTTAGAGCAAATGTGAGAGATGTTATCCACAGATTAATAGGAAATATATTATTGAGGCTGCAAAGAATTTATTGACCCTGTCTTTGCCAATGAGTTGTGTGAACAACACCTTTGGGTGAAATTCTATGGATGAAATAGGAGCAAAAAGTAGGACTGCTTGATAATTCTCTCCATAGGCTAGGTCCAAACATGATCATGATGTGTCTGTGTTTGGACAAAGTCATTTTATGTCTTTTGCCATTACAGTGGAACCTCAGGTCACAACCATAATCAGTTTTCAGACTCCATTCACGACCCGATTTGGTCGCATCTGGAAGCACAACCGACTGTACATGCGTGCAGTCAATAAAATGGTGTTAAAGGGGAAATTGGTGCAGAAAATGAATCTTTCTGCACCAATTTTGTTCACCACCCGATTTTTGAATTGTGACCGATTCAAAAATTGGGTGGATTTTTTGTTTGCCACCCTCAGGAATAGGAGCATTCGCAACCCAAATTTCCACTGTACTGCTCTAGGTTCTTTTGCTTTGTCTCCTGGAGTTGTTTGGTCTCTATATGCATGACTGGCATATACAGACAGGCTAATCAGGGACAACTTCCTTCAATACTCTTTCACTTTCTCTGAGTTCTGGACTTCAGTGAGATGTACAGCTTAGGTCATACTTTATAATTGTATTTTATAGATTTATAAACAGTCATTACTGACCATTTCTTCACATTTTTTTTCACAAATAAAAAATAAACATTATTAAAAGCCAACAACAAATAAATATAAATTTAAAAAGGAGGAAAATTGAGGTAGTCAAACAGAAACATTTCATAAGTTTTATGGATCGTGGGTTAGTAGTTACTCTACTATTAACCAATATTGGGATGCCAATCACAATTCTGTCTGCTTAATTGGTTGAACATTTTAGTAGTATATGAACATTGTCACCAAAATATATAACTTCCATTTTAGCCAGAATGTTCAGCTATTAAAAACTTCAAATTTATAATCCACTTACAAAACTAGAACAGCAGCTGAAAGTGATCTGGTCCTGTATACTAAATCAGAATGAATGCAGATGACCTTCCAACCTGGCCTCCCTTTTTTATACATATTGATCTGCCCAAACTGATTTTGCTCTATAAGTCCCAATGTTTAAGAAGACTAATAAATCTGATCTGGTTAGTTTTAAATGTTATTAAATTATAAGACAAACATCTTGGCAATGCCTGACTGGATATATCAGGACAATATCATGGTTGAGAGCATACAAATTTCTGAATAAATTAATTGACACCACAGATCGATCTAAATTCTGTTTTCAAAAACTGATGAGATTTTGAAGACAGGACACTAGAGGGAACAGAAAGAAATAAAATTATAATAAAAAAAAGACATGCAGCAAAACACTCTTAACTTTGGATGAATTCAAGAATATGTGAGCAGAATGCACTCCGAAGTTATTTTTAAGATTGCCTGGTATCATAACCTGGATTTAAAAGTGGTTATAGCAGAGGAACAGGCTTCACTGGACAAAACTGAGATGGGGGCAGAGTGTAGATTTAAAAATGAAAGGTAGAGGTGGTGAAGAGGGGGGAGACTGGCAGCAGGGTCGAGGAGAGCCGCATCTCTCCTCCCCAGCTGGCCATTACTCCCTTTCCCGAAGGCGGTTGCAGTGAAGGTCAGAAATGGCCACCTCAAAGAAGAACTCAACTGGAAAAAGAATGTACAGGAGGAAGATAAGAAGAGAAAATTTTGGCTGACCGGGTCAAACTGAAAAAGCAACAATATAAGGTACCCTGGAATTTGAATTATAAAGAACAACCTTGTTCCCAAAGAAGACTTCGAAGCTGCGAATGAGAGAGGGAAAGAAAAGGATTTAGTTTTTTTTCCTTTCTTCTCTATATTGACAACTAAGAGATTTATGTAAGAAACTGGCAAAAATTCCACTTTGACATTAACAGGTATTTAAGCTGAAAATAAAATGTCAAAGGGATAATAAAGATTTCTGGATTCTCAAAAACTTTTAAAAGAAGGAAAAAAACAAAAGGGTGGGATCTGGAAAAATGGAGGAGACCACCTGGAAGTGAAAGTTTAACAACTTTAACAAGATTCCTTAAAGATGCATTTTAACTGAAACTTTGTAACAAGATAAGAGAACCCCAGGAAGAGAAAGTGGAAAAAAGAAGCAAGAAGAAACAGTTTTGGATTATTTGGATTACTGGGTGATTTTTGGATTTTTGGCTATTAGATCTAAAGGACTAAAATTAATGGGGTGGTTGTTTAAAAGTTTTTAAAATGGTATCACTCTTGGAAGAATTGAGAATGGAACTTAAAAAACAGAAAGAAAATGCACAAGAAGGAAGAGGTCCTTTTGGCTTCGTATTTCAATTTTTAGAAATGGAGATCCTGAACTGTGAGAAACAACAAGAAATGCCTGTAGAACAAGAAGGGCAGGACAAAGAAGAAGCCATCTTCAATGACCAAGTATTTCTATGTGGGGAAAAGAAAGGAAAGGGGGGAAAGAGAGTGAAAAATTTAAGATTTGAACCCCCCCCCCCCCAAAAAAAAGAATAGTTTGAAAAGTAATTACAACATTAGGAAGAAACAGAAGAGAGGATTACAGAAGAGAGAATCAGAATTAGAGAGTGAAGGGGTCAAAAAGGGAAGGGAGAAGAAGAGGGGGAAGAGGGAAAGGAAAAGAAATGATAAAGGACAGAAACAGGACATAGAGAAACAGGGAAAACGTACAAGGATTAAGGGTATAAGTCTATTTAGATGACAGAGATAATGGGTGAAAACTTAATTGAAAGGGGGATTCTGCAAGGGTACATAAGATAATATTGTTATATTAGAAATAGAAATGAACTTTGAAAATATGAAACAAGTGTGATTAAAAGGATAGATAAAATACTCATTGTAATGTAATGGAATGTTTAATAAAAAATGAAATAAAGAGAATGAGAGAATGAAATTAGGAAAGGAGGGGAATATTTTAATT